ATAAATAAATTTTTAAAAATTCAAATGTTTATGTACAAATGATTTTATTTTTCACTTTATAGGACATCTTGGAAGTCTTCCCTGTCAACACAGAGTTTCCTAATTAAGAAATTGTGGTAAAATATACATAGCATCAAATTCATTATTTTATCCATTTTAGGTGTACAGTTCAGTGGCATTAAGTATATTCATATTATTGGGCAGTTATTGCTATTACCTATTTTCAGAACTTTTTTTAATGTTCCCAAACTAAATCCTCATTTTTTTGGTAACTGCCTGAAATGTCATTGTATGGATATACCATAATTTTATGAAGCCAGCCTGCATTAATGAACATTTAGATCATTCCAGTCTTTTCATATTACAAACAATGTTAAAGTGAATAATCACATATACACGTGTACATACACACACATACTTTATTTTGCTTGTGTGCACTGAGGTCCAAGTACATTTCTTATTTTGATAAATGTTTCCTATTGCCTTCCATAAAAATTGTATGCCTTCTCATATTCTGGACAGTGCAGTGTGTTATCAAACTTTATATGACCTCTGCCAGTCTGGGTGGAAAATGCTATCTGCCTCTTTGCGAATGTGAAGTACCATTGTATTTACTTCCTGTTTTGTGAATCATTTTCATATTTGTCTGATTTTCTAATAAGAATGGAATTTTAAGCATTCCTCATGGAAATTTTTAAACACAAAAAAATTGAATAGGGAAGACTTCCGCCAAGATGGAGGCATAGGTGGATGTGCCGTGCCTTCTCCCACAACCAAGATTAGAGAAAACTAAATTTTAGCAACAGAAAACACAGCCAGAACACGGAAAATTGAACTTTTCGGAAGTCCGTTAACAACAAATTCTTCAGCCTGACCAGTAAGGGGCGAAACCAGCGGCTGGCGGAGCAGGGTTGCACAGGAGGACTCGGCCAGACACACTCAGGCCCGAGGAATCCAGACGCAGGGTCAGACCTAGTGAGTGACCCAGCGAGCAACCAGGCAAGCGACTGCGGGGGAGACAGCCGGGCCCGGGGCTGCGTGTTGACTGAGGTCGCGCATTTGTGCGAGGGTGGACAGGCGAGGAAGTGGGCGGTTGGACCAGGCCGGCAGGTCCCCACGGCAAGCGGCAGTGGAGGGCGCCGCCATTTCCCTGCTCTGACCCCACCTCCACATACAGCGTCATAACCCAGCGACTCTGAGTGGCCCGGCCCAGGTGAACCACCTAAGGCACTGCTCCTCCGCAGCCAGCTGTGAGAAGCGGCAGAGGGGGTCGCCATTTCCCCGCTCTGGCCACACCCCGACATACAGCGTCACAACCCAGCGACCTGGGAATCCAAGCCGCCGCTTCTCACACTTAAAGGGCCCGAACAGACCAAGAATGGCGCAGGAGGATCTCAGAGCCCCAGAGCCAATAAATCTAAGCGATGAAGAAATAGCAAAACTCACAGACGCACAGTTTAAAAAATTGGTGATCAGGATCCTCACAGAACTGGTTGATTATACGGACAAATTAGACAAATATATGAAGGCGAAACTCATTGAAATGAATGGAGTTGCACAGGACACCAATAGCAATGAAAAGGAAACTGGGACTCAAATCAATGGAGTGGACCAGAAGAAAGCAAATAATGGCCAAACAGAAAAGAGTCAAGAAGCAAGAATTCAAAGAAATGAGGAGAGTCTTAGGAACCTCCAGGACATCTTTAAACGCTCCAACATCCGAATTATAGGGGTACCAGAAGGGGGAAAGGCACAGCCACCAGTGGAAAACTTATTTGCACAAATAATAAAGGAGAATTTCCCCAATCTGGCAAAGGAAATAGACTTCCAGGAAATCCAGGAAGCTCAGAGAGTACCAAAGAGGTTGGACCCAAGAAGGAACACACCAAGGCACATCGTAATTACATTAGCCAAGATTAAAATGAAGGAGAGAATCCTAGAAGCAGCAAGAGCTAAGGGGACAGTCACCTACAAAGGAGTCCCCATCAGACTGTCAGCGGATTTCTCAACAGAGACCTTACAGGCAAGAAGGGGCTGGAAAGAGGTATTCCAAGTCATGAAATCCAAAGACCTACAACCAAGATTGCTCTATCCAGCAAAACTTTCATTTAAAATGGAAGGACAGATAAGGTGCTTCTCAGATAAGATCAAATTCAAGGAGTTCATCATCACCAAGCCCTTATTATATGAAATGTTAAAGGGACTTATCTAAGAAAAAGAAGTTAAAGAAACATGAACAGTGAAAGGACAACAAACTCACAGTTATTAACAACCACACCTAAAATGAAAGCAAACTAAAAGGACAGCTAGATCAGGAGTGGAAACATAGAAATGAAGATCTCAAGGAGGGTTAGCAACAGGGGAGTGGGAGGAGGAGAAGGGGGGAGAAGGTACAGGAAATAAGTAGCATAGACAGTAGATAGAAAATAGATGGGGGGGCAAGAATAGCATGGGAAATATAGAATCTAAAGGACTTGAGACACATGGTCATAAACTAAAGGGGGGTGATGGTGGGGATGGGGGGTAGGGTGGAGGGGAATGAAGGGGGGAATAGAACAACTGTAACAGCATAATCAATAAAAAAAAAAGTAAATAGTTAAAAAAAAAATTGAATAGTACAATGAACCCCCCATGTCCTCATCTTCTGGCTTTAACAGCTATAGCATCTCTAGCCCTACTCATTGTCCTTGCCAGGTTTTTTTCAAAGCAAATTACAAATATAGCATTGTATATGTAAATCTTTTGTATCTGTATGTTCCTCTAAGAGATAATGACTGTTTTAGGGGTGGATACAATTATCACATTTACAATGATGAACAAAAGGAAATAGATTTTTTTTTTGAGTGTTTATAAACAGGGTTGGGAGGTAGCTCTGCTTCAGTGCCCAGCTCAACAGTCCCTAAACCCATGTTTCTGGCCACAGTGAAGCAACCCAGTCCCCTGGGTCCTGCTGACACCTGCTCTGTGGTTTGATCATGGTGGGGCTGTCCCTTCATCTGTGCTCTTAGATTCAGCCAACATGTGTGAGAGGCTCTGTGATAGCAGGGAACCCCTTTTATGTCCCTTAATTCATTTAATCTTTGGCCGAAGCTTAGAATATGATTAGTATTATCTCTTCCACTTGTTGAAGATACTAAAGCCTAGAGAGGTTAAGTGACTTGTGCAAGGCCTCACACTCAGATTTTAGCCCAGTTTTCCTGTTCCCAGGCCCACTTTCCACTTCACTACCCCAGAGCTGCCCTGATTAGTTGCTGCAAATGCCACTTAAGCATAACCTCTGCAGCCGCCTTCTGCCTTATACACCTGTACTTCTCTCTTCCCTTCTAGGTGTATTCCGGGGTGGTCATGACATCCTGGTGCGCTCCCGGCTGCTGCTTTTGGACACAGTTACGATGCAGGTGACTGCCAGAAGTTCAGAGGAGCTGCCAGTAGACATCATCTTGGCATCTGTGGGCTGAGGCCACCCTGCATAGATACTACTCCTACCCTTCCCCCTACACACACAATATGCAGAATTCAGACCTTCCTCCTGTACCCAGTAGAAACTCCTTCCTAAGCCTCTGTATTAAAAAACAATAAGTAATCATTTTTAATTTAACCTTTACCCCAGGACTGTTAGGGGGTAACTTTTTTTTTTTTTAAGTATAATTTTGGCTTCTATTAAAACTTGCTGCCCTACCTGCCAGGGAAGGACATCACAAGTTAATAAAGAGCTCGCATCTCGAAGTTATCCTCAGAGAAACCATCTTATCCCTATAAATAAATCAGCATGTATTTACTAAATGACTTACTTACGCAGACTCATGTTTAGGGTCTCCGCCTTCCCCTTTTGGCCTCCCCACATCCAAGAACACCTATCCCCTGTACATCCATAGCAGCCAAAGGGTTGCTGTGAGGCAGGACCCTCTCCTACTCTGTCCAAGCCCCACATGCAGGAACAGGAGCAGTGCAGGTTTGCTGAGGGAATGACACCAGCTGACAGGCTTAGCGAGTGCATGCATTCTTGCATTTTTACAAATATGAGGTGAAAGATGATAGGTTGAGGGTCCATCACCATCTGGTCTGAAGTAGAATGTGTGTGGGAATTTGCCTGTTCCTGCTTTGGTCCAATTCAGGGAATGCACAGAAGGGAACAGCATTTGCTCCAGATGCAGAAGTCCCTGTTTTATACCCCAAGGAAGCAGGCTCAGAAGCCACCTCAGGTGCATTTGTAAACTCAAGACAGGTGGTTTTACCAACACTGTGGCTGAAATACAGCTATAAAGCCCATTTTTAAAAATCCAGGCGTCATGCCATGGCTGGTGTAATAAAGTGGGCTTGCAAGCCAAGGAGTTGCCAGTTCATTTCCCAGTCAGGCCATATATGCCTGGGGGGCATAGATGTTCGAGAGGCAGCAACACGTTTATATTTCCCTCTCTAAAAATAAGTAAAATGCTGTTTTAAAACAATCCACGCCTCATTCTTAGAGACCATGATGGGTAAGGGGGTGAATGGTGAGGCCCTTGAGAGGGCTCATTCTGGTGCCCACTGAAGTTAAAGTAACGTTTAATTCATGAAAATGTTTCTGATGGTCTCCAATATTTGCCCCAAACTATGAGATAGTTCATACGACTGTGAAGTAAAATGTTTTCTGATTTCACCCTTACCATGACCTGGTGACCTACAGTTATTTAGCATCTCTGCCAGCGTCCTTGCAACGAGCCTTGCCCTTGCAGATTCTTCCCTAGCCCTATTCGCTTTGCTGTAGAAGGGCAGTTAACCCCACAGGGGTGGAGGGTGGGCAGACGAATGTGGAGGAAAGTGGAGCTCCAAGACCCTAGTATCAAGGAGTGAGCGAAGACAACCCTGGTCCCCTGAAGCACTTAGAGAAAATTGAGATCCCAGGGACCACTTTCCCTCGTCGAGCTGGGAGAGGGAAAGAAGCCGGAAGTGCCCGGCATTAGGAACATTAAGGGAACCACCCTCTCCTTGGAGGCGGGGCTAGGCTACGTCGCTGGGGCGGGGCCAGGAGTGCGGCTTGCAGTGTGTAGGAACGGTGAGTGACGCTGCCTGCCCGCAGGGCCGAAATAAAGGTGAGACCCCAGGGGTAACCAGGCTGAGTTAGAGTGAGGTGGTGTGCACTACTGGTTCTGGCAGAGGTGGGGGTGAGGCGACACTGGCGGCCGACTGGGGCCAGGGCTGAGGTGGGTGGTGAGGCGACTCTGGAGGCCGGTGGACTCCGAAGTGGGGAGGTGGGGTAGGGCCAAGGGCGGGACCTTAGCCCTGGCGCGGATGGCCCACGTCACGCCAGAGGGTGGCCTTCGGGCCACCTTGATGCCGAGACTTGCTCCGAAGGTGGGGTGTTGTGGCCTAGGGGTCCCTAGTACTGGAGGCAGAGAGCCACGACAGACAAGAAAGAGGCTAAGTTTAGACAGTACCCAGGGGTGGCATCTGGTTGCCCTCATCAGGATTAGCTGGTGCTCGCTTTGTATGAGGCTCTAATTAATCCCAGGAGAGGACAGAAGGAAAGGGGGAGTAAGGACGAGACAATATGGACAAAACGAGTCACCCAGAGGAAGGAGCTAGTAGCTCAAATCTTTTCCTAATGTTTTGCAATCTGAAGGTTGTGAGGGGCCGCGTTGAAGAATGTGTGGGCGAACATCCTGCCATTTACCTAGAGATGTTCTCACAAGAGCATGTGCCTATCAGGATCGTCAGGGCCAACAGCGGCTTCCAGAGTGGAGACATCCTGACAAGTACTGCCCCTCTTACAACAACAGTCCTCAATCAAATAGCCCAGTGCTGCTGTCTCGAATGCACTTTGAGAAGGTAATCACTTTATCTGCCTGGCACTTCGTGATTTTCTACTTCTGCTAGATAACCCTTAAACAATGATCCTTAAACAATGTGGGAAGGGGAGGCTGGGTAGGGAAACTAATAATCCCCGCACTCCTGCAAGTCTGAAAATCTACATGTAACAACTTTTGACTCTCCAAAAATTTTACTAATAGCCTGCACTTGACTGAAAAAGCCTCACCAATAACACAAACTAGATTAACACATATTTTCCATGTTGTGTGTATTATAAACTATATTCTTACAATATAGTAAGCTATAGAAAAGAAAATGTTTCTAAGAAAATCATAAGGCAAGTACATTTACAATGTTTATTGAAAAACAAATCCGCATGTAAATGGAGCCATGCAGTTCAAACCTGTGTTATATTTGATTTGGTGTGTATGCTTGGCCTCTGAGATACATCGAAAAACAGTCCTTACTTGACCCCCGGTTGAGACCACCCTGGGCCTCATTGAAATGAGTTTTATTGATATCTTCTTATCTTGCAAGATAATTCAGTATTCTTCAGGCTCAATTTAAATACCTTCTTTATAGACATTATACCCATGATGCACGTCAAATTTATATAACCCTTGTATCTGAATACATTTTTTAAGACAGCACCTTTGCAACCTCAGTGATCATCAGGGTCATTTGAGTATCTTTTAAAAAAGAAAAAGATTTCCATGTCTCTTACCAGTTGTGCTGAATTAGAATCTCTAGACCTAAGGCAGAATTAAGACCAGCTCATCTAAAATACCTTTAATGTTTCTTGACCACTGAAGTTACTATTCTTTCTGCTTGTATTTTTAATCTTTCTATGTTTATCTTTTACTAAAGTTAGAAATAGATGTATTTCGTGTGGTTATCTGAAGTTTAATTGTGTTCATTCTGTTTAATTGCTTTCACCACTGTAGTAGTGTTGGAGTGACCAATATATAATCATGTTTTGGTTCTTTGCTTTATTTTTATTAGAAGAATGCATGTGATAAAAATGTTTAACTTCAGAATTTAGTAGTTTCTCCGTATCTTTTTAAAAATTTATATATTACATAAATATCCTTGGTATGTTTTTAAAAACATGATTGTTTCTATGCTGGATTTTTATTCTTTTTGATCCATAATGCTTAAGTCACTTTATAAAGCTGATTATACCACAGCTACATACTCTTCAGAACTCTTGTGATAATATGGTTGTCAAAAAAGACTCATTTCTACATTACAGGGCCCACATTATTTTGAAGTAAACAAATAACATTAACCTTTTTGGTAAATGAAGCTATTTACATAAAATAGTTTATTCTTAAGCCATTTAAGAAAGCTTTTTTTTTTAATGAGAGGATAATCAAAATAAAGGTAATATCAAAGGGAACCTTGACTGGGAAAGGAAACAGTAAAACATGTTTCAAAAGAAGGTATAACTTGAAGTAAAAAGAGAGAAGGAGTAAGTTTATGAAATATTCTCATTTAGCCTTTGTTCTTTTCATACCACCTCTTTAGAATTATACAATGAATGTTAGCTGGAAGATTAATTTGTCTAACAGATGTAAAGGCAGAAGAATAGAAAGATTGTTACTTGTCATAGGTTACCCAATCTGTGATGGGTAGAGCTGGGACTGAGGTCCAGACCAGTGTTCCCACTCAAGTGGATGTTTCCCAGAACTAGGAATGGGGAAGGTGGAGCCCCTGGCAAGTATAACCCTCCTTTTCTGTCAGGGGTATGAATTTACTGATTGATGGGTATGATGACTCTACATCTTTAATAAATTTTATTAAGATTTCTAGGGTTTCATAATTTTAATAAATAGTTGGTTTCATTTTTTTCTCAAACCTGTAAATTATAAAGCAAAATTAAACTTCCAGCCAAGATGGAGGCATAGGTAGATATACTTTGCTTCTTGCATAACCAAAAGAAGGATAACAACCATTTAAAAAGAAAAAACCAGAACCTGCAGAAAATTGGACTGTATGGAAGTCCAATAACCAAGGAATTCATCCAGACTGGTAGGAGGGATGGAGATAGGCAGCTAGGGCAGAGAGGACATGCAGCAAGGGAAGCAGCTGGCTGACCAGGTGGGCAAGGTGGTGGCTGGTGGAGCAGGCGGTCCACATTCATTTGTGGATAAACTGGAAGAAACAACAGGGGAGCGAGACAGACTGCGCAACCCAAGATTCCAAATAAAGTCTCAAAACATCTGGCTGTAAAACCCTGTGGGGTTTGCAGTGGTGGGAGAGGCTCCCAGTCTCACAAGAGAATCCATTGTAGGGATCCACAGGGTCCTAGAATGCACACAAACCCATCCACCCAGGAATCAGCACCAGAGGGGCCCAGTTTGGTTATGGGTAGCAGGGGAAGTGACTGAAAGCTGGGGCAAGAGCCAAGCAAGTAGCATTATTCCCTCTCTGACATATACAGCACTACAACAAAGCAAAGTGGGTTGCCCTATTCTGGAGTATACCTAAGTCTCTGCCCCTTACAATGTAACAGGTGCACAAAGAAAAAGAAATATGGCCCAAATGAAATAACAGGTCAAAACTCCGGAAAAAGAACTAAGTGATGAGGAGATAGCCAGCCTATCAGTTACAGAGTTCAAAACACCAGTAATCAGGATACATGCAGAAATGGTTGAGTATGGTTGCAAAATCGAAGAAGGAGTGAAGGCTATACAAAGTGAAATAAAAATATGCAGAAAACCAACACTGACAGGAAGGAAACCAAGACTCAAATCAAAGATTCGAACCAGCAGAAAGAAATAAACATTCAATAGGAAAAATGAGGAAATAAGAATTTTTAAAAATGAGAGGCTTAAGAATCTCCTGGACAACTCTAGGGGTTCCAGAAGGAGAAGAACATGAACAAGAAATTAAAAACTTATTTGAACAAATAATGAAGGAAAACTTCCCTAATCTGGTGAAGGAAATAGACATGGAAGTCCAGAAAGTTCATAGAGTCCGAAAGAATTTGGACCCAAAGAGTAACACACCAAGACATATCATAATTAAATGGTCAAAGATTAAAGATAAGGAAAGAATCATAAAAGCAGCAAGAGAAAAAGAAACAGTTACCTACAAAGGAATTCCCATAAGACTGTGAGCTGATTTCTCAAAAGGAAACTTGTGAGCAAGAAGGGGCTGGAAAGAAGTATTCAGAATCCTGAAGTATTTCACATCATGAAAGGCAAGGACCTACATCCAAGATTACTCTATCCACCAAAGCTATCATTTAGAATGGAAGGGTAGATAAAGTGCTTTACCCAGATAAGGTCAATTAAAGGAGTTCACCATCACCAAGTCCTTAGTCTGTGAAATGTTAAAGGGTCTTATCTAAGAAAAAGAAGATCAAAACTATGAACAGCAAAAACGACATCAAACTCATAACTATCAACTGAACCTAAAAAACAAAAACTAAAACTAGACAGGAACAGAATCACAGAAAAGGAGATCAAATGGAGGGTTATCAGCAGGGAGAGGGAAGGAGGAGAATGGGGGAAAAGGAAATAAAAAGCATAAATGATAGGTACAAAATAGACAGGAGGAGGTCAAGAATATTATAGGAAATGGAGAAGCCAAAGAACTTAATATGTATGACCCATCAACATGAACTGGGGTGGCGGGGGGAATGCTGTGAGAGGGGGCTGAAGGGCTAATGGAGATAAAGAGGAGGGAAAAAAATGGGACAACTATAGTAGCTTAATCAATAAAGTATACTTTAAAAAATGAAGCAAAATTAGAACCATTTCAGCCATTTATTTAACCCGTATTATCAACGGCCAGCACATATGTATAGATTGCAACATTTACATTTGAAACCACTGGTTTGCAAATCACTTCCTTTTTCATTTATCTACCCCAGAGCTACCAGCTCATCTGGTCACAATTCAAAAAGATAGAGGAAAAGATGACTAATACTGAGCAATATTTTCAGTATTTTGGCTTTGCAGCCACTTTTTATTGAGTGTTCCCAGTAGAGGGCAGCGTCACATTTAGGTTTGATTTACAATTGTCCAGTGAACACATTCAAGTTAAAGGTAATCACTGGAATTTGTAAGAGTAGGATTTCTCAACCTTACCACTGTTGACATTTTGTGTGGGATAATTCTTTGCTGTGGGAAGCTGTCCTGTGTATTGTAACATGTTTATCAGTATCACTGGCCTCTACCCACTACATGCCAGTAGCATTGTCCTGGTTATAATAATAAAAAACATCTCCTGATATTGCCAAATATACCCACTAGGTTTGCACACCACCCCTTCCCACCTGCCCCAGGTTTTGATTGTGATAGTGGTAGACTGGGTGGATGTCAGAATTGCCCCTTGTTAAGAACCTTAGATGTAAAAGTATTGTCTTACAAATTTCTGATGTGAGATCATTTATATATATATAATTTTTTTTCTTCTAATTTCTGCTTTGGGCAAGGGTCCCTTCTGCTTAGAAGGCCCATTTGATTCTGGAAGAGAGGGTTAGGGTTAGGGCCTAAGGCTCTGTGTTTTCACACATTCATTCTTCTTCCTCCTATCCCTGATGAGATTAATACTTGGAGTTTTGTCCTTTTACATTTCCAGGGTTTTCTTTTTCTTAGTTATCCTGCACACATATTACTGTAATTTTTTTTTCTTTTGGCATACAGCTGTCAACCCAAAGTCAGTGGTGTCAATTCAACACCAACAGGAATCTCCAACTTGGGGTGTAGTGAAGAAGAAAATTTTATTCAGTGCAAATGGCCCAACTATGACACAGCACAGTTGTGGAAATAACATGGCTATTTGGTGGCCTTGAGGCCAGGCCCCTCTCCAAGTAGACAGCTCTGCTCTTCACTTGTCTGTTCTGCTTCGCTACAGCAAGATATCTTCAGTGTTTCTTTGGTGTGTCAGCTCTAGGAAGAGTAACACAGTTTTCAGTCTTTTGTAGAAAAGAAAAGTGGCTCTCAGAGCCAGAGGGGAGCTAACTTATGTAGACAGAAGTCCCTGCTACTGGTCCCTGGTTGATCTGTCCTCATGCAAATGAGAATACCAAATTCTCACATTTTGGTCCAAAAGCCACTGTCCTGATTGGTCAGAATGAAGCTGCTCTGGTTGGTGGGTGAAGAAGCTGATGGGAATATAGCTGCACAGCTCTGATTGGATAGGGAATGCCTCAGTCTTATTGGTTGAAATAAGATCCCTGGAATTCATTTATAAGGGCTGGCTCAGAAGGTAGAAACACAGTGCCAGCAAGCAGTTCTGTGCAGGAAGCAGGCAGGTTAGTGCAGGCTTCTCCCTAAAGTGAAGTTGGCATGATAGTCTCCTGTATAGAAATGGCTGGTAGGCTCTGTTTTAAATTTGACCCCATTTAGCCATCTGGAGCCCTACTTAGTTAGTGTCTTCTTTCTCATTGTCCACACATACCTAGGCTGCCTGTCTTTAAAAATGAAACACACACACACACACACACACACACACACAGAGTTGATCCTCATTTATAGATTCTGTTTTTGCAAATTTGCCTACTTGCTAAATGTATTTGTAACCTCCAAAATAATACTCCTAAAATAATACTCCTGTTCATTCATGGATAATACAGGTGGTGAGTCACCTGATATACACATGTCCAACTGAATTAGACAAAGCTCTTTAAAAACAAACCAAAAAAAAAAAAAGAGGAAGTTCTACCATCTTGTTTCAGCTGTTACATTATAAAGAAGTATTCTTTTTGCCATCTATTTAGTGTCACTTTTTCGCATTAGAGATTTCACTGTTTAAAATCCCCCCCCCCCCAAAAAAAAACACACAACTGTTCTCAAGCATAGCCCTGAAGTGCTTGCTGACTGGTATTCCCAAGTGTAAGAAGCTTATAATATGCCTTACAGAGAAAATACATGTGTTAGATAATCTTCATTCCAGCATGATTTACTGTGCTGTTGGTCATTAATTCAACATTAATGAATCAACAGTATATATGAAATAAAGTGTCTTTAAACAAATAGAAATAAAACAAGGTGACATATTAATTAGTTGATGAAAATATTGTCACCATAGGTTCATGGGAAACTAGTCCTGTATTTCCTCTATTTCCCCTAAAAGCGAAAGTTCAGTATTCACTAATTCATTGTTTGCAGCACCATTGTAGAACCTATTGTGAATAATGACAATGGACTGTGTGTTGTACATATATGTGTATAGAAAGGGGATTGACTAAAACAGGCAAGATTTTGAAAGAAATTGGACGGGATCTTACCAAGAGCAACCAAAGAGATGCCCTTCTGAGACATCACTACTGATGATTCCTTTCTTGACTTTTCTCATTCTACTATTTCCTTTCTAAGTACTTCTTCTTGGACTCTACTTTTTTCTTCATTTCTCCTTTTTTCTTTTTGTATCCCCAGGTTAAATTCTGTGTTCGATTTACTCCCTAAGAAACTTTATACTAATGGCTTTATCAGCTACCTTTATAATTCTAAAAATACTAAACTACAATTTGTATCCATATTGCATGCCACAAGTTTTTTTTAAAACAAAACTTTATTCGTAGTAGTTTTCAAGTATGTTTACTGTACTGTTCAAGAGGAAGTCACATCCTTCCAATACAAAAGTCGAATCACCCTGCACCTACCCTAGGCCTGAGAGCTCCTTCTAGGATGGGGAGAATTTATGAGAGGGACAGATTCAGGGTTGAATAGGGGCTCCCCAATTTTCTATTAAGAGAGAAAAACACAAATAGGGGGAAGAGGTGATAGACAGCTGATAGGTATGCAGAGGGGTGCCCAGAATTGGGGGAAGGAATCCATGCCACACATTTTAATGATTCTGCAGGGTAGGTATTATTCACCCTATTTTGACAGAAAAGAAAAGTTGAGGATCTAGGAAGTTGAAACTAGTCACACTTCATAAGTAGCAGTGAAGGGTTTTTTGAAGCAGGATCCTACAAAGGCCTTATTTTTTCCCTCTATACCAGAGGTTGGCAAACTACAGCCCTCACACCAAATCTGACCCACTTCCGGTTTTTGTAAATAAAGTCTTCTTAGAACACAACCACACTCATTCATTTGTTCTTTGGCTTCTTTCATGCTACAAGTGGTGGCAGAGTTCAGTGCTTGAGTCATTGCAGCAGAGACTATATCAACTCACAAAGCCAAAAATATTTACTATCTGGCCCATTACAGATGAAGTTTGGTGACCCGTTCTCTCTACTATGCTGCGTGTCTCCTAAGCTTTAAATCCACACACTTTTGGACATGGTAAACAGCTCTACTTGGATTTTATTCTAGTGACTTAAAATAACATTTATTATGTTCATTAATGAAGAATTAAGACAAACATTACAGATATGGTTTGTCTCTTCCCTGAAGTCTGGGGTCTCAGCCAAAAAGACTTGGCATCTGGGGCTAGAATCATCTAGAGCAGGAGTCAGAGAACTAGGGCCCTCTGACCATTTTTCTAAATGAAATTTTATTGGTTACAGCAATATCCTTTTATTTATCTATTGTCTCTGTATGCTTTGTCCCTATAACAGCAGTTACAACAGAGACTGCCCGCAAAGTATTTAATATCTAGCCTTTTATAGAAAAGTTTGCCAATATCTGATCTAGAAGCATCTTAAGTCACTTATCTGACAGTTGGTGTTGGCTCTTAACCTGGGCTGTTGACCAGAGTACCTACATGTGGCCTCTCCATGAAGCCTGGGCTTTTTTACACCATGGCAGTCTAGGTTAGGTAGATTTCTTACATGGCAGCTCAGAGTTCTAAAAGTAATCTGAGCAAATAAGGAGGAAGCTGAAAAATTTTTTCTGACTTAGCCTTAGAAATCAGTGTCACTTTACCACATTCTGCAAATCACATAGACCCCAGCCCTCATGAGGAAAATGGTAAAGATTTATTGACCATTTCCGTAAACTGCCACAGTCTTGCTACTATTATCAGAAAGTCAAAACATGATCTTTCCCCAAGTCAAATCCTTCAGATTTTTTGTTCAGTAGTGCCATCATTATTTCAGTCCTCTGGGCCTGAAAACTTAATCATCCTTGTTTCCTTTTTACAATTGCACTATAATTTTATTTTTTTATCTTTTGGATGTCTTTTTTATTGTTATTTATTTACTTTTAGAGAAAAGATAAGGGAGGGAGAAAGAGAGGGAGACAAACATTGATGTCTGGTTGCCTCTTGCATACCCCCAACTGGGGACCTGGCCCGCAACCCAGGCATGTGACCTGACTGGGATCAAATTGGTGACCCACTGGTTCACAGGCTGGCACTCAATCCACTGAGCCACACCAGCCAGGACTAGATGTCTCTTATTCTTACTACTGTAACCAGAGCTACTATATCCTTATCACCAGATCCCTAAACTATTGTAGTAACACCCCCGAATGCACTCTCCACTACTGGTTTCTCCTAAACCATAGTGTACTGTGTCATGCAGAATAGTCTGTTTGTGCAGTCTAATCTGTAGATATCATCAAATTCTCAAGGGACAAATGTGAACAATAAAGTTTAACAACCATGTGTTGGGTGACCCCGAGACTACCCTCATGTTTGGAGATTCACTAGAAGGACTCAACCTATAAGGGATTTAGTGACTAAGCTTTATTATGGTGAAAGGATACACAACAAAATCAGTAAGGGGAAAAGACACAAGTAGAAATCTGGAAAATTTCATGTACATGCTTCCTTATGTTCTCCTCTTGTGAAGGAACAACTAAGTACATTGCTTCTCTAGCAATGAAAAATACAATGCGTGCAGTTTTTGTGCCCATGGGAAACCCATTAGAAACTCATGGCCCCAGGTTTTTTTGGGGGGCTGGTCACATAAGCACTCTCTGCTTAGCAAGTACTAAAATTCCAGAATCCCAGAAGGAAAGAGGGTGTTCAGCATAAACCTCATTATTTGCACAGACAAATTAGTCACAGTAAACCATTCTTATCAGTAAGAGAAAGGTGGGAACACTCAAAATCTTATTTTCCAGATGCTAACTGAAAGCCAATCTTGTAAGCAGGCCCTCCTAAAAATAGTATCCTCACACTTGCTTTTGTGCATAAAACTACTTCCTGCATATTCTTGATATGGCTTCTTATATCATTTCATATCTGGTCTTTCCTCCATCTCTGTACAGTTTGTGGGGTCTATTCAAGAACCATCTTATCCTGGCCCTGGCTGGTATAGCTCAGTGGATTGAGTGCGGGCCTGCAAACCACACGATCACGGTTCGATTCCCAGTCTGGGCACATGTCTGGGTTGCAGGCCAGTCCCCTGCAGGCCAGTTCCCAGCAGGGGACACACAAAAGGCAACCAAACATTGATGTTTCTCTCCCTCTCTCCTTCTCTTCCCCTCTAAAGAAATAAAAAAAAAAAAAAAAAAAAAAAGAACCATCTTATCCTATCCCTGCCACTTTGGCCCCTTCTTAGGAGCTGATACTTCTCCATTCCATCCCTCACAGACTACTCTCCACAGAACTGCTAACACATTCGCTGAATGTACCACTTATATGTCCCTTAGCCTACTATTTTTGTGTCTATGTGGGCTAACATGTTATAGTATAAGCCCATGGAGGCTAAGCATTCTTCCGCATGTCCCCATATCCCTTAATCACAGCTTGTACCTCATTGTATTAAGCTTGTCTATACTATATGCCTCTGGAGAGCTGGTACCATATAAAGTACAGAGCCTAGCTCTATGTTGCTCCCTTAGTAGGCACCAATTAAATGTTTGCAATAACAAAACCTCTTTGTATCCCCTACTCCACCCAAGAAGAATATGAGTAATATTGTGATTAATATGATTGTTAAAGAACACAAGTTACATAGTGATGTCACTAAACTTGTTTTCAAGTAGAATTTTTCCTTTTAATATTCTATTTTTTGTATTTGATACTAATAGTAATGTAATGTATGTGCTAAATTTGTTTTTTTAAGTTTCATTATGATTTCCTCACTGGATCTTAACCTTTTTCTGGCAGAGTGCAGACTCATCTGAGCGTGTCATTGCTCCCATGCGATGGGGCTTGGTCCCATCTTGGTTCAAAGAAGGTGATCCTTCCAAACTGCAATTCAACACTAGCAACTGCCGTAGTGATACTATAATGGAGAAACCGTCCTTCAAGGTAGGTAGCTTATCTAGGGAAAAGACCTTTTCTGCTCTTTTTTTAAACAGAGCTTTTAGTGCCTTACATACCTGAAAAATAAAATAAAGCTCTCTTGGGAACCTCCCTTAGGGTCCCAAAGTATGTTCCTTGTTGTTCATGTTGAGTGCTGTTTTATTTATTACTGTGTAACAAACCATGCCAAAATTTAATGGTTTAAAACAAGTCAACTATTTATATTATATCATTTCTTATATTCTGTGAGTTAACTGATCTCAAGTGGACAGTTTTCACTTGGAAGTTCTTGTATAGTTATAATCAGATGACAGCTGGGGCTGAATGTCTAAGATGGCTTCTTTACCCACATGTCTGATACCCCAGCTGGGATGGGTAGAGCAACAGGTATCCTTTCCACATGCCTAGCTGTGGTTGTCAGGGTAGTCACCCTTTTTACATGGCATGTGGCTTCCCCAAAGCACATGATCCACAAAGCAGGGCAGAAGCTGCAAGGCTTTGTGACCTACCTTGGAAGTCACATAGCATCAGTTGTACAGTATTCTGTTTGCCCAGCCCTAAATCAGTGTGGGAGGGAACTACATGGGATATGAATATTTGGATGCATGGCTAATTGGGGAGCCAACTTTGGAGACTAGCTACAGCAAGTGCCTATTTGTTAGAGAGCTGTTGCTGTTGTGTACATTATTTAATCTTTTCAACATCTGTGTGAGTGGTGACTTTATACATATGAAAAGTGAGGTGTAGAGAAAGGAAATAACTGCTTCAAGGTTACACATTGGTAAACTTAAGATTTTAACTCAAGTCCATGAAACATGATTCTGTCACTAAGACCATATCTTGCTCACATTTTCCCTCAGGTGCCTCTAGGAAAAGGGAGACGCTGTGTTGTTTTAGCAGATGGATTCTATGAGTGGCAGCGGTGTCAGAGAACAAGCCAGAGACAGCCATACTTTATCTACTTCCCCCAAATAAAGACAGAAAAGGTATCATCATTAGCACTCACAATGAATATTTAGAAAGATACAGAGAAACTAATCCAAAGGGCATTTTTTTCTTCCCTCATAGATTTAAAAAAAAAAAAATTTAAGATTTTATTTATTTATTTTTAGAGACAGGAAGGGGGAAAGGGAAGGAAACATTGATGTGTGAGAGAAACATTCTTTGCTTGCCTCTCTCACATGCCATACACACACACAGGACCTGGCTCACAACTGAGGCATGGGCCTTGACCAGGAATTGAATAAGTGACCTTTCGGTTCTCAGGCCTGTGCTCCATCCACTGTGCTCCACCAGCCAAGGCTAGATTTTTTTTTTTTTTAATATCAGTAATAGCTTTATTGAGATATAACTCATCTTTTTGAAGTGTGCAAGTCAGTGATTTTTTAAATCTATCAACAATTACTTTATTTTTCCCCAGTAACTTTATTTTTTAAATATGTTTTACTGATTATGCTATTACACCTGTCCTGTTTCTCCCCCTTAATTCCTCTCAGCCCTGCACACTGCCTCCCACCCACATTCTGTCCCCCATCATTAGTTCATGTCCATGGGTCATACATGTAAGTTATTTGGCTTCTCCTTTTCCTATACTATTCTTAACCTCCCTTTATCTATTTTCTTTTTTTTTTTTTAATTATTTTATTGTTGTTCAAGTACAGCTGTCTGCATTTACTCCCCATCTCTACCCCCCTGGCCATCCCCACCTCCTTCCCCTGATTCCACCTACCCTTGGTTTTGTCCATGTGTCCTTTATAGTTGTTCCTGAAAACCCTCTCCCCTTTCCCCTCATTATTCACTCCCACCTCCCCTCTGGTTACTGTCAACTTGTTCTTTTTTTTTTGAAAGTTTTCAACTTCTTTTTATTTATTTATTTATATTTTTAAATTTATTTTTTATTGATTATATTGTTACAGTTGTTCTATTCCCTCCCTTCATTCCCCTCTACCCTACCCCCCATCCCCACCATAACCCCCCCCTTTAGTTTATGACCATGTGTCTCAAGTTGTTTAGATTCTATATTTCCCATACTATTCTTGCTCCCCACATGTATTTTCTATCTACCGTCTATGCTACTTATTTTCTGTACCTTCTCCCCCCTTCTCCTCCTCCCACTCCCCTGTTGCTAACCCTCCTTGAGATCTTCATTGCTATGTTTCCACTCCTGACCTAGCTGTCCCCTTAGTTTGCTTTTGTTTTAGGTGTGGTTGTTAATAACTGTGAGTTTGCTGTCCTTTCACTGTTCATATTTTTTAAACTTCTTTTTCTTAGATAAGTCCCTTCAGCATTTCATATAATAAGGGCTTGGTGATGATGAACTCCTTGAATTTGATCTTATCTGAGAAGCACTTTATCTGTCCTTCCATTCTAAATGAAAGTTTTGCTGGATAGAGCAATCTTGGTTGTAGGTCTTTGGATTTCATGACTTGGAATACCTCTTTCCAGCCCCTTCTTGCCTGTAAGGTCTCTTTTGAGAAATCTGCTGACAGTCTGATGGGGACTCCTTTGTAGGTGACTGTCCCCTTATCTCTTGCTGCTTCTAGGATTCTCTCCTTCATTTTAATCTTGGCTAATGTAATTATGATGTGCCTTGGTGTGTTTCTTCTTGGGTCCAACTTCTTTGGGACTCTCTGAGCTTCTTGGATTTCCTAGAAGTCTATTTCCTTTGCCAGATTGGGGAAATTCTCCTTTATTATTTTTTCAAATAAGGTTTCCACTGGTGGCTGTTCCTTTCCCCCTTCTGGTACCCCTATAATTCGGATGTTGGAGCACTTAAAGATTTCCTGGAGGTTCCTAAGACTCTCCGCATTTTTTTGAATTCTTGCTTCTTGACTCTTTTCTGTTTGGCCATTATTTGCTTTCTTCTGGTCCACTCCATTGATTTGAGTCCCAGTTTCCTTTTCATCGCTATTGGTTTCCTGTGTAATTCCATTCATTTCAATTAGTTTCGCCTTCATATGTTTGTCTACTTTGTGGCTATCATCAACCAGTTCTGTGAGGATCCTGATGACCAGTGTTTTAAACTGTGTGTCTGAGAGTTTTGCTATTTCTTCATCGCTTAGATTTATAGGCTCTGGGGCTTTGAGATCTTCTTGAGCCATTTTTGGTCTGTTTGCGCCTGTTAAGTCTGAGGAACAGAGCCTTGGACTCCCAGGTCGCTGGGTTGTGACTCTGTATGTGGAGGCAGGGTCAGAGTGGGGAAATGGCGGCCCCCTCTGCTGTTTTGGGCCACTGGGTGAAAAGCAGAACCTTAGGTTGTTCACTGGGGCAGGGCCACTTAGGTCGCTGGATTATGATGCTGTATGTGGAGGCGGGGTTAGAGCGGGAAATGGTGGCTCCCTCCGCTGCGATTGCCGCTGGGGCTGCTGGCTCTCGTCCAATCGCCCACTCCCTCACTTGTCTATCCACACATGAATGCACGACCACAGTCAACCCGCAGCCCTGCTCCCTCGCTGTTTCCCCGAGGTCGCTTGCTGGGTTGCTCACTAGGTCCAACCCTGCGCCTAGATTCCGCATGCCTGAGTTCGTCTGACCGAGTTTTCCTGTGCTACCCCGCTCTGCCAGCTGCTGATTTCACCCCTCTTACCCGTCAGGCTGAAGAATTTGTTGTTATCAGACTTCCGAAAAGTTCAATTTTCTGTGTTCTGGCTGTGTTTTTTGTTGCTATTATTTAGTTGTCTCTAAACTTGGTTGTGTGAGGAAGCACAGCTTCTCCACCTATGCCTCCATCTTGGCGGAAGTCTGTCAACTTGTTCTTAATGTCAGTGTCTCTGGTTATATTTTGCTTGCTTTTTCCTTTTGTTGATTGGTTCCAGTTAAAGGTGAGATCATACAGTATTTTTCCCTCACCACCTGACATATTTCACTTAACATAATGCTTTCTAGTTCCATCCATGCTGTTGCAAAGGATAGGAGTTCCTTCTTTCTTTCTGCTGCATAGTATTGCATTGTGTAAATGTACCATCATTTTTTTTGATTCATTCATTTACTTTTTAAAAATTAAATACTTTGATTTTTATTGTTGCTCAAGCACAGTTTTCTGCCTTTTCCCCCCACCCCTCCCCACCACCCCAGCCTTCCTCACCTTCCTCCTGTTTCCACCCCCTCCTGTTTTTGTCCATTTGTCCTTAATAATTGTTCTTGTAAACCCTTCACCTTTTCCCCCCGTTATCTCCTCCCACCTCCCCTCTGGTTACTGTCAGTTTGTTCTTAATTTCAATGTCTTTGGATAAGTTTTGTTGTTTGTTTGATTAGGTTCTACTTAAAGGTGAGATCATATGGTATTTGTCTTTTACCTCCTGGCTTATTTCACTTAGCATAATGCTCTCCAGTTCCACCCATGCTGTCACAAACATCAGGAGCTCCTTTCTCTCTGCTGCATAGTATTCCATTTGTAAATGTACAATAATTTTTTGATCCATTCATTTACTGATGGACACTGAGGTTGCTTGCAGCACTTGGCTATTGTAAATTGTGCTGCTATGAACACTGGGGTGCATATGTTCCTTTGGATTGGTGTTTCAGGGTACTTAGGATATAACCCCAGCAGTGGAATTTTCAGGTCAAAAGGCAGTTTCAATTTTAGTTTTCTCAGGAAATTCCATGCTGTTTTCTATAGTGGCTGCACCAATCTACATTCCCTCCAACAATTTACTAGAGTTCCCTTTTCTCCACATCACCAGTACTTCTTGTTTGTTGCTTTGTTTATGATGGCCACTCTCACCGGTATGAAATTTTATCTCATTGTGGTTTTACTTTGCATCTCTCTGATGGCTAGTGATGCTGAACATCCTTTCATATGTCTCTGGACCCTCTGTATGTCCTTCTTGGAGAAGTGTCTGGGCAAAGTGTCTTTTCCTTTTTTTTAATTGCATTTTTTGTCTTCCTGGAGTTGAGTCATGTGAGGTGTATTTATATATTTTGAAGATCAAACCCTTATCCAAGGTGTCATTGGCAAATATATTTTCCCAAATAGTTGGTTCTCTTTTCATTTTAATGTTGTTTTCTTTAGCCATGCACAAGCTTTTTATTTTTATGAAGTTCAATTTGTGTATTCTTTCCTTTATGTCCCTTGCTCCAGGGGATATATTAGTGAAAATATTGCTGCATGGAATATCTGAGATTTTCTTGCCTATGATCTCCTGAAGGACTTTTATGGTGTCACAACTGATATTTAATTCTTTTATCCACCTTGAATTTATTTGTATAGTGTAAGTTGGAGATCGGGTTTCTTTTTTTTTTGCATGTAGCTGTCCAGGTCTCCAAATACCATTTTCTGAGAGGTTATTTTTACTCCATTTTATGCTTCTGCCCCTTTTGTCAAATATTAATTGACCATAGAGACTCGGGTTTATTTCTGGGATCTCTATTCTGTTCCATTGGTGCATGTGTCTGTTCTTGTGTCAGTACCAGAATGGGTTATTTTTGTGGTTTTGTTATTTATTTATTTATTTATTTATTTATAATATATTTTATTGATTATGCCATTACAGTTGTCCCATTTCCCCCCTTCATTCCCCTCCTCTCTGCATAACCCTCCCCCACCCCCCCCTTTAGTTTATGTCCATGTGTCCCAAGTTCTTTAGATTCTATATTTCCCATACTATTCTTGCCCTCCCCCCTGTCTATTTTCTACCTACTGTCTATAGTACTTATTCTCTGTACCTTCTCCCCTGCTCTACTCCTCCCACTCCCCTGTAGCTAATCCTCCATGTGATCTCCATTTCTATGGTTCTGCTCCTGATCGAGCTGTCCTCTTAGTTTGCTTTTGTTTTAGGTGTGGTTGTTAATAACTGTGAGTTTGCTGTCCTTTCACTGTTCATCGTTTTTATCTTCTTTTTCTTAGGTAAGTCCCTTTAACATTTCCTATAATAAGGGCTTGGTGATGATGAACTCCTTGAACTTGATCTTATCTGAGAAGTGCTTCATCTGCCCTTCCATTCTAAATGAAAGCTTTGCTGGATAGAGCAATCTTGGTTGTAGGTCT